GGGATCAAATTTATTTTTTATGAAATGTGTGGAGCTCTTAACATGTACTAGGTATTTCTATGTCATTTGCAAATGTTAACTCATTTGACACTCATAACAACCCTTAGAAGTAGGTACTATTATCATCCCTAGTTTACAGATGGGTAAACTGAGGCATGGGGTGATTATAAATTTTGCTCAAGGTCACTCAGCAAGAGCCAAAATGTGAATCTAGAGAGTCTGGCTCTCAGAGAGCTGGGTAGGATCTAGAATAATAAATAAGGAGAGTAGGGCCCAGACAGGTGGAGAACACCTGCTTCATGTAAAGGTATTCAAACTCTGCAACTCCATGTCCTCGAACTCGTATCATACAACTCCCTAGCATTCCACTACATGTCTAAGGTTCTGTTGATTTTATTTCTTTAATGTCTCTCTATCTCTCTCTCCCTTTTTCTCTGTCCCCACCATAGCCTCAGTTTGGCTCCAACTTGTTTCTCAACTGACTGCCACCATTTGTCTGCCATCGTTCTTGCCTCTCACAGTCAGTGCTCTCTATAAGCAGGCCAGCTAACATGTTCTATAAAGAGCCAGAGAGCACCGTAGTCGCCCTTACCTGCGGTTTCACTTTGTACAGTTTTAGTTACCCGAGGTCAATACATTAAATGAAAAATTCCACAAATAAGCAATCCCTAAGTTTTAAACTGCATGCTGTTCCAAGTGGTGTGATGACATCTCTCTTGGTCCTGCTCCATCCTGCCCGGGACGTGACGTGTCCCTTTGTTCAGCGGATCCACCGCTCTAAGCTACCCGCCCATTAGCCACTTGGTGCTGCCTCCTTTATTAGATCAACCGTCGCTGTGCTTATGTTCAAGTAACCTTACTTTACTTAATAATGGCCCCAAAACACAAGAATAGTGATGCTGGGATATTGTTATAATTGGTCTACTATTAGTTATTGTTGTTAATCTCTTACTGGGCCTAACTTATAAATTAAACTTTATATAGGTATGTATGTATACAAAAAACATAGTATATATAGAGTTCATACTATTCCATGATTTCAGACATCCCCTGCAATTAAGGGGGGACTACTGTAAATATTTCAGGCTCCCGAGGCAATTGCAACAGAAACTCAACTCTGACATCATAGCATGACATCAGCACAGAACAGGTGGGTGTGGCTGTGTCTAATAAAACTTTATTTACAAAAACAGGTGATCCTTGCTCAGTAGTACCACAGCAATTTTCTTAACAAATCCTACTCCTCCTACTGAAATATATTCCAGATGGTTCCCCAAAACCTTAGACAATATGCATAAATATAAAAGCATCAGCAGAAAATATAAGTGGATGCTTTTATAACCATAGTGTGGTAAAACCTTTCCAAGCATGAAAAAAACAAATTTAAATACATAAAAATTAAAAATCTCAGTGCTGCAAAGTAAAACAAAATAACAAAATACCACAAATAAAGTACAAAAGAAAGACAAAGTGTGAAAGTAACATTTGTAATGAATATGACGAATGAAATGTTAGTATTCTTTATTTACAAAGAGCTGTAAAATATCAGTAATATGCAGGAGTACAGCATACACAAGGAGTCAGATTTACATATGCTATCGGAGGGAGAGCAAATTATACTATCTTTTTTAGGAACAAATTAGTTGATCTATCAAAAATTAAAATGTTTAAAGCTAGCTATTACATTTCTAAACACTTATCCTACAGATAGACCCACATAAGAACAAAGACTTATGCAAATAAAAATTAATCAGAATTGTTTTTAATAGCAAAAAAACTGCAAGCACCCTAAATGTTTACCTACAGAGAATTAGTTAAGTAAATAATGGCAGATCCACATAATGGAATAGTATGCAGTGAGGTAAATATTGTCAGCGAAAGCTACACTGTTATGAGAAAATGGCAAATTGCAGATCTGTGCGTGCATATAGAATCACATGATTCTATTTCTCTTAAAGAAATCATACAACCATATCTATATTTGCACATATGCATATAGAGAGAAGACTACATTTCAAGCAGGGGTTTTATCTAGAATGGATGGGAAGGATAGTGCGTGCATATAGAATCACATGATTCTATTTCTCTTAAAGAAATCATACAACCATATCTATACTTGCACATATGCATATAGAGAGAAGACTACATTTCAAGCAGGGGTTTTATCTAGAATGGATGGGAAGGATAATTTTCAGTTTAAGATGTACACTTCTGTATTATTTGAAATTTTTTTATAGTAAGCCTATACTAATTTAACAGTAATTAACACTTAAAAGATAAATAAATAAGACAAAGCACAAAGTGATCACATCACTCCAAAGAATCTTCCAGGACTTTCACTGCCCAACTCTATAGCGTGATATACATGCCAGAATGACAACGTGACCACTGCCTACCCCTCAGTCTCAGTAAGCACCTCTCCTACAAGACACTCAAATCATACTGTTATTCATAGTCACACTGCAGTTTTCTGAACATGCCAGGATGTCTAAGGCTTCTTTGCTTTTGCAAAGCCTTCTCCCTCTGCTTACAATTCCCCACATCATCTTCCCTGCCTAGTAAATACTCATTCACCTCAACCTCCTGCACAGGGATTACAAAAATCTTAGGAGAAATATGGAAATATAACACACATTAAACAATCAAGTGTTTACTTGTAATTATTTAGAAACTAACCTTTCCAAAAAAAAAGAAAAGAAACTAACTTTCAGTGCCTCCCATGTGTCAGAAATGCTATTGGGAACTTTAAGTGCATTATGTCATTTAATTCTTAAATGGTTTATTATTATTCCCAGTTTACAGACATGAAAATTATCTCAATAAGGTTAAGGAACTGTTCAAAGTCTCCCTGTCTAGTAAATGTCATAACCAGGATCTCAACTCAAGTTTGCTTGACTTCAAAGCCATATTCTGAGTTTTGTGCAGGGAGACTGAGGCCAAGAGCAGGGTTAATGAAGAGGCCTTGAAAGGATCTGAGAGGCAAACCAGTCTCTCATAGAGGCAAGGGGAACAAAAATGGTGGGGTGGAAATATTGGCCTACATGGCAGGGTAGGGGACAGGGAAAGGGAAAAAAGGAAATTTCTGGGAAAGAGTTTGTTCATTCCAGATTACAATATTCCTTTAGAACCAGGCAGACCTGAAGCAGGAGGCAATCTGGACAAACTGTAGACTCTTCTGTAGGTTAGGAAAATTGAAAGCAGTGTTTTGAGAAAGTCTGGCAGCCCTGGTAGTATGTAGTATGTACTGCAGTGGCGGGAGAATGAAGGCAGAGAGAACAGATGCTGCTGCAAAAACCAGTGGTCTCGTGTGTTTTGGACCAGAACTAAGATGTGAGCTGCAAAAAATGGGGATGCAAAACGAAATATTTATAGGTGTTAGAGAAGATTCTGTCAGTAACAGTTCGATGTTAGACTAATGATGAAGGGGAGAATGGAGAGCAAGACTTAAGATTGATTCTAAGGCTTCTAATCTTGGGGAAGTGAAGAATGCTGGCATTACTGACAGAAATGGGACAATAAGAGAGGAGACCTAATCTGCAAACTAGACATGTTAAATCATCGTGCACACAAAGAAAGAAGGTCCTAACGTTGACAGAGGCCACTCTGATGCCTACAGACTGAGAGGCCTCATTTTTTGAATGACATCCTTATGATCATTACTTATCTATAGTCATTTTAACATGGCAATGACATGACACTCAGATCACTTGTAAATGACTAAGGATAACTTCTTAGAAATGTGATAATTCCTTGCTTAGCTAGCACAAAGCACTAAGACATGTCTTCAAGGATATCAGATAGAATTGGTCTCACAGTTTTAGTTACACTATGTAAGTTCTAGTAAGATTCTCCATCTCCTTCATCAAACCCCCAAGTCTATTCATCATCCCCCGAAAAAAATTTTTAAGTGAGGTTGATCACTGAGGAAAGAAGTCGTCTGCTTTACCTCCTTTTACCCTGGATGTCAGGCTCAACTCTGTTTAAAAACAAACAAACAAAACCGCTCTTTCCCTGATCTTTCCCTACTCTCAAAAGCCTCCTTGTCCCATCTGTTCATTTGACTCAATGACATTATTTACCACTTTCTGTCCTCAAAGAGTACCTGTCTAACCTTATTATTCACTCATTATGTCTGTCTCTTTATTTTCATCCAAGTAGAAAAGAAGAGACCAGGTCTTCTTCAGTTTGCAGAATGACCCAGAACATATTTTCTAAATGGGGTTAGCCCAGAATAAGCTACACCTAAGTTTAGCTATGAGATGGGATAATAATGCTTTGCTTGACTTATAGGGTGATAGTGACAACCAAATGACATAATTCTGGATCTGGGGTTAGCCCAGAATAAGCTACACCTAAGTTTAGCTATGAGATGGGATAATAATGCTTTGTTTGACTTATAGGGTGATAGTGACAACCAAATGACATAATTCTGGATTAATACCCAAATGTATGCAATAAAATTTGGTATAATGGGCTAGAAGGGAAAAAATATATATATATGGTTCCAAACCTCCTTTCAGAAAAGTAATCTCTATACTCACACACCTCGGACAACCCCAAAGGCCAGATAAAAAGCCAAACACAGAAGCGAGCTAGGAATTCCGGTGGCCACTGTGGGTTCACACCAACCCCAGCAGTGCAAGTCTTCCTGTTCTAGAACTCAAGTAGACAGAACTTATTATTTTACTGCATTTTTAAAGCACAGTAGGTATAAAAACACTAAAGACAGGGAAACAAGCAGGATAAACATTCTCCTTTAATTGCAAACGAAAGAAAGACTATTTTTAGTACAATACTTACATTGGGATACTATTTACAACTCTATAAATAGAATACAAAAAATCTGATTTCGAATCCCAATTAAACTGAAGACAGAAAAAATACTAAGAGAGGATCTGCTATTTCAAATTATTCCTTTTGGGGTAGTAAATAAGATTAGCTTTTTGTTTAACTAAAAATAATGTCTCAAGGAAGTATCTAACTATAGAAAAACAGAGTACCTGTGAGTTTGATTTTGGATAGTCGAGCCAAAATTCCTGGCAAGTCATCGACATGCAGCTTCATCTCTTTCCACTGCTTTTCATCTTTTGTCTCTTCTTCCACATCTATCGAGCCTTGAATTATGGAGGCAGACTCTAGTTCTATCAATTCCTTTTCATTTGGCTTTCTGGACAAAGATAGGCTCTGAGGCGGGAGAGGTCTCGTTTCATATATTTCTGCTTTGGCTTGACATGAAGATGTTTTTTCAAGGAAAGCAGATGCCACTGGTTCTGGCTTTGGTTTTACTTGCTGGCTGAGGCATCTGTTCAGTTGTGTGACATACTAAACAAAGAAAAGCACACTACTATAAACCAAGGCCCAAAATGCTCTTAAATGGTTGTTCAGTAACATCTTCCATTAGTTCAACCTTTATGGTACCAGATTTTCCTACGACTTTATTATTAGTTAATTCATCACGTATTTATACAGTATTTGCTAATAGAAATCACTATACTAAGAGATATGGAAAATAAACTTGATGCCTCAGCAATGGTTTTCAAATTCCGTGGTTTAGAAAATCCTATAAATGCAATTTCCTTGAAAAAATAATAAATTTATCTCCTCCAGAACTTGTCCTGGAGGTTTAACGTTCCAGATACAATGAAAAAGTTTTCTGTAATCAAGAGCCCAAGTCAACCTGATGACTTGCCACATTCTTAGGCAAATAGTGCAGGAGGGGCTCAGTGGTAGGGCATAATCCAGGACTAAGTGATAATAGCAATGCAGTATGAGGAAAGAAAGTGGGTTTTAGAGTCACATAGTTTTTACCACTTACTAGCAAAAAATTAATTACTATTAACATTTGTGAGGCACTTCATAGTTTCATGTAATATATATCTTTATAGTTTAATAATACAAGGGTAGCTCAAAAAATTCATGGAAAAATTAAAATGAAAGATAATACAAGTCTTTCCATGAACTTTTTGAAGTATCCCCTTATATATCTCATCTAATCCTCTCAACAGTTGTTTAAAAAGATGGATCATTATTAGTATTTCTCTCTTTAATTTACAGATGAGGAAACTAAGCCTCAGAAATAAACTGGCATAATCAAGAGTCAATAAACAGTTATATAGGTAGCCCTGGTACATGAATAACAGTTAAGTGCCTTTCCCAATGCATCACAAAGACTTGAAATTACACATAGTACTATGGATAAGAATTACGAACTCATGAATGTATTTAGTGTTCTGTGTACATACAAAAGGCACTATACCTATTTGAGTTTCTCTTCTAACTATCCATTATCCTTGACTCCCAATTTAAAAAGTCTAAACATTTCTAAAAATTTCCATTTCTTATCAACATACTGACTTTTATCAGAATTTTAAGTTAATTTTAAGTTAAAAAAAGATAAAAGAAATGCCAAATAGTATTTCAGATTATGAATTTGCTGTTCTTTCACACTGGTACTACAGTCATGAGTTTCAGCTATCGTTTCACCATTCTGTAACTCTTTTCTATTTGAGAAAACAGCAAATGCTCTCAGTGGTAATTAAAAGTTAGTTACCAGGGGCCAGCCTGTGGCTCACTTGGGGGAGTGTGGTGCTGATAATACCGAGGCCACGGGTTCAGATCCCTGTATAGGGATGGCTGGTTAGCTCGCTTGGGAGAGCGTGGTGCTGACAACACCAAAACAAGGGTTAAGATCCCCTTACCAGTCATCTTTTAAAAAAAAAAAAAAAGAGTAAGTTACCATGTTGCCCACAATAATATCATGGAGTCAACCTAAATAAAGGCCTAAAGGAAGACTGAGATATATTATAAATGCCAACTATAAAATGCCTAGCAAATTATAAAAACTCTCAATTTGAGTCTACTCATAAGTGTAGACTCAAATAAATTGAGTCCTGTGTTAAAGACTTTTAAATGTACTGCTTATTTAAGAAAATAAAGGGTCACACTGTTAAAGTAATTATTTTGTATTACTGATGTATTCACAAAACTTCAAAAAATTTGAAAAGATGTATCATAACAATTCAGCTTTTTCTAATTTTAGCCTAGTTGAAATATGCCAGACATTTTCAATCATTCTCCAAACTTAATAAGTTCACAATCATACTTTTAACCTCAAATGCCAAAATTATTCTGGTTTCGGTTAAGAATAATCAAGAGATTAAAGTTTAGAAAATTTTAGAGGACATTAAATAAAAATCCTCTTTGAAAGGTACTTCTTAAAACTTTTCTTATAATAGGAATTTCTGAAATCCCCCATACAGAGAAAAGTAAGGCAGGAAGCAGCAGAATAAGAATGGTCACGTAAACATACCATGCATCTCAGGAAGTTAAAGTGCTGAAATGTAATCCACCGCTTATTGACATTCCTGAAAAGGTGCATGAACTTGTGAGGGGATTCCTGTATAGCTCTTCTTTCTAAATACCAGACACATCCTCCTACCCAACCTACAATAGAGAAGAGAAAGAACTGTTAAAATGATGAATGCTGCTCACCACGTGATGACTATACCTACTTAGAAGCAAAGCCAGCCACCAAGTTCACGGTGTGATGGGTCTGAGCTCTGAAATTATCTAATCCAGATTTGTTAATAAATGCAATTTATTGACCCCAGTCAATGTTTAAGTCAGTGTAATTTTTCAGCAGGGCTTCAGAAAATTTTCATTTGAGGATCATTATGCTTTTTTTTTTTATATTAAATGGTGAAATAACCGCACTGTAAATATTGTTAAAAAGAAAATAAAAAACAACCAGTTCCGTCTTTAAAAAATAGAAAATGAGCACAATTTTTCTCAATAAATTACAGTAAGTTGAAGCATAGGAGCTGGCTGGTTAGCTCAGTTAGTTAGAGTGCAGTGCTATAACACCTAGGTCAAGGGTTTGGATCCTCACATTGGCCAGCTGCCAAAAAAAAAAAAAGAATAAAACAAACATATACATTTCAGGTTAATATTTTAGCCATGTAAGGTAAGACAACTAAAAGGAAGAGGAAATAGTTCCCAATAACGTAGTTCCTATCTAGTTAGGAACAAGTGATTTCACTTGTATCCAGATTTGGCTTTTAATCATTCTACTAAACCTTCCCTCAAATGCCAACAAATCCAATACTTCTATCTCGGTCCTTCTCCTATTCAAGCCTTAGAAAATCTGTACATTACAGATTCTCCCATTCTTTTTAAAAGTCTCTCGTCCCATGGCTTCCACGACATTAAAGGTTCCTGGTTCTCCACTTTCCACTTCTCAGTTTCCTATGGTTGTGTCTCAGTTTCTCTTGCTTGTGTCTGCCACTTTAAGGCAATTGTGTCCCACTGTTCTGAACACTAAATATTGTCCCTGCCCAAAAAGAATTACAGATGCTCTTCAACATCCCTATAAACCCATCATAAATTGCAAATATCTTAAGTTGTAAATGCATTTAATATACCTAACCTACCGAACTTCATAGCTTAGCCTAGCTTAAACATGCTCAGAACACTTGCATTAGCCTACAGTTGGGCAAAATCATCTAAAACAAAGCCTGATTTATACCAAAATGTTTTTTTTTTTTTTTTCCGTGACCGGCAACGGATCGCAACCCTCAGTGTCGCGCCCGTACCGGTCCGGGACCAGCAACAGGATCGCAACCCTCGGTGTTGCTCCCACGCCTCGCTCAGCCAGTGAGCGGGAACCGGTCTGTATATGGGATCCGAACCCTCGGCGGGAGCGCCTGCCACACTTCCCAAGCGGCGTACTGTAGCAGTGAGCCACCAGGCCGGCTATACCAAAATGTTAAATATCTCATGCACCTCTTATCACTAGCCCTAGAAAAGATCAAAATTCAAAATCCAAAGTATACTGAAATTGCAAAATTTCTGAAATCATAAAGTCAAAAAATTACAAGTTGAACCATCGCTAAGTCAGAGACCATCTGTATGGGGTAATTTCTAATCTTGAACCAATTTCTAGAGAGTCATTATGCCTATTTCCAACTGCTCTTTTGGTATCTCTACATGGATAGATTGCAATATATTTTTAAGAACACTTTTTTTCTCAGCCTTATCTCTACTCTCTTCCCTACTGCAGATAAAACCATTACCTATTTGAGACTTCAGGGACATCCTGAACTCTTCCTTTATCACCTAACAACCATCAAGTCCAGTCAACTCTGGTCAAATCTGTCCACTTCTTTCCACTCCTACTGATAAAGACTCTTAACATCTTACATATGGACTGTGCTAACGGCAGTAGGATTCAAGCCATTCGTCCTGCCTTCAGTAACTTCCTTTTCTCTCCAACCCACGTTCCATAAAGTCAGTGGTTTCTTCCTAAAGCCCAGACACATATTATTCACCCAAACCATACACACGCAACTCACCAAAAGCAATGCTGTCTTGCCTGACCCTTCACTAAACACACCATACATTTCACAATTTATTCATCTTGATGTTGTTTCCTTGCCTGCACTCCACTCTCTGTCAAGTTTTAAAGTCTCTTTTAACTACTCTATCACTTTATACCATGTTTTATGGCACTTCTTAATGCAACTGTTTCCATCATCACATTCTTTAGTTCCTTGATAGCAGGGACTCGCCTTTACTCACCTTTGCTACAACAGCTAGCAGAGTGCTTTCTATACAGTAATAAAATAGTCTGATGACTAGATAGCTCACATAGCTTACCTAGACTATGGCAAGAACTATCATTGCCCCTTGAAATACACGGCAACTATCTTAGCCTAGAGATAAGTCACTTGCTCACTGAAATCATATTGTCAAACTTCAATTAATTATGACATTCTTATTTTCCACATACATGAATATGTGTTTGCCTGGGAACCTCTGTGAAAAGTCTCTCAAGATAAGTGGGTCAAACTGAGATTTTACAGAATGATAATGTGTTAGTCTGTTTTTATTTTGCAATAACAGAATACTTGAGACTGGGTGATTTATAAATAAAAGAGGTTTATTTGGCTCACAATTCTGGGGCAGCTGCATCTGTCAAGGGCCTCAGGCTGCTTCTACTCATGGCAGAACATGAAAGGGGAGCCAGCATGTGCGCAAAGATCACATGGTGAAAGAGAAGCAAGAGAGAGGAATGGAGGTGCCAGGCTCTTTTCAACAACCAGCTCTCTCCTCACCTCCAGGGAGGGTATTAATCTATTCGTGAATGATCCACCACTGCGCTCCAACTCCCAATACTCGCATGGGTATCAGATTTCATCACGAGGTTTTGTGAGGACATACCTACAAACCTTATCAGGTAGTAAGGAAAAAAAAAAAAAAAAAAAACCAGCTGGGAAGCTGCACTTATAAATGATGAAAACAAGGGCTAGTTGATTAGCTTAGTTGGTCTGAGTGCAGCATTGATGACAGCAGGTCAAGGGTTCGGATCCTCATACCAGCCAGCCACCAAAAATAAATAAGTAAATACATACATACATAAATAATGAAAGCACTTCATTTAGTCAAAACATGTCACATTTCTATGAATCGGTGCCTAGAAACTGAAAGACATTTCAGCCCTTGGTAAACAAATGTAAGTTTGAAGATACACAGGACTTGCAATAGACACACTAAAAATCTGAAAACACGTGCCCACATCCACTATCAAAAACACTGGACCGTGACTGTAGGGCTTTTAAAATTAGGTGAGGAGACAAATAGTAGACAAGTAGTAGAAAGGACCTGGAATTTTTTTAATGGCTATAAAATACTTTGAAATTTCAGAAGCAAAATCAGACACGACTACTAAATGCCTAATATAGTCCCAGTTTAACCTCTCTGCCATCCCTTCTCACCATGGTGCTTCCCCATCAAGCTCTTAGTGGATCTTCAAAGTGGATCTAAGTCGTAAAGACCACTTACTAGCAGATTATATTCATAGTTTCAGGAAGTAAGCTGTCTATTAATTTATCTACACCACCATTGCAAAGACTGATCCAACAACCAATCATGTGGGCCACCTGCAGCCCGTCTACTGTAACCTGGGGAATTCAGAGCAGTTAAGTGGAATGGTCCTAAAGGAAGGTGAAAATACAGAATGCAAAGGCAGAAAAACAGCTAGTCTAAGGGATGCACATTGAAGAAACCTGATAATTCAAGCACTAAGAAAGGATAAGCCCTCTGAGAATAAATACCTAGGGTCATGATCAAAGAACATTCACTGTCAGGGATGGTAGAAGGTAACAAAGAAGTGATTCAAGACCTTTAAAAAAAATCATTATGGAAAATTGTAGTCATATGTAAAAGCAGATTACAATGAGCCCCCACTACGTGTCCCCAAGCTTCAACAATTACCAATCCCTGGCCAATCTTGTTCCATCTATACTCCCTCCCACGCTCCTCCCCACTTTATGAACCAGGGACCTTTGAGATCATCTAGTTCAATTACCTCATTTTATAGTTGAGTAAACTCAGTTCCAGAAAAGTCAAATGATCTGCCCTGAGATCACACATACCAAAAGAGACCCATAAAGAAACATTATGAGAAAGAAGAAAGAATGGAATTTCATTGAGTCACAGTAATCTATATTGCCAGATGCTGCAGAGACCTTGGTGAGGCCTGAAAAAAGTTTCTGGGATGTGATCAAAAGGCAGTCTCTAGCTTCTCCTATGTGGTCTCTAATACGGATCACATCCTCACACAGCCATTAGTTACCATCCTAAAACACTGTGGGCAAAACAATTTCCAACCTCCTCTTTAACATCTCCATCGGGGCAAGTTTCATTCATTCACAAATTATTACTGAGAGCCAACAATGTACACTAGGTACTGTTCTGGGGCGCTCGGGACTTAAAGTTGATCCAGAGACTCAGACACCACTGTCCCTGCCTTCACGAAGTTTATATAATAGTTGGAAGAAACAGAAAATAAACCGACATATAAATAAATAATCACAGACTGTGCTAACCATGACCAAAGAAATAAATACGGTGAAAAGAGGAGAAGGGGCCCTACTTTAGAGAGGGTGGTCAGGGTGGACCTCTCTGAAAAGGTGACATTGGAGCTGAGACTTTGCCAAGAGCCAAAGAAGAGTATTCCAGCTTCAACATTCACTTGTCACAAGTCCTTCAAGTGGGAGGATTATATCAGGGACCAGGCTGACCATGCAAAGTCAAAAGTCTGAGGGGGGCTACGGCCCGCTGTCTGCAGTTGTCATCATCATGACCCTTTATAATAGAACAAGGCTTCTGAGTAGTAGCAAAGTGCTTCCCTTGTCATTACAAGCCAACGACTAGGAACTGGGGCTCTGATAAAGCAAGAGGCTTGTGGAGCCCCAAGTTTCTACTCTGCCCTCTCCTCCAGCTTCCTGTATCTGAAAACCGAAAGCACCAGACACCGCCCCTCAGGGGGAGCGGGATGTAGGCGGCGTGTGGACCACCGGAGCCCCACGGCAAGAGTGGACCCTAGTTCTGTGTCCTTTTCACTCCAGTTTACTCCGAAGGTCACTTCCCCCCACCGGTGACCAGCCAACCTCGCCAAGAGCTCCCAAGGTTGCAGCCAGACGGAACCACGGTCTCGCACGTGGCAAAAAGAGGAGAATCTTCCGAAGGTTGTGCCCGAGGCGGGTACAGTACCTGTCAAGAGGCGTGAGGAGAGAGTGTGCGGGGACGCGGCCATACCGCACGAGTCTGGTCGCTCCCCGGGATCCCGGTGTCCTCTCTCCTCACCGGCTGCTGGGCGCCGCCATCTTACTTCCCCGCCCCCTGTAGGCGCACGGGCGCTTCCGGTACGCCACTTCCGGCGGGCCGGCCGGCGAAGGGAATCGCCGCGGCTGGAGGTGGTGGTGACTGGACCCGCCGTCGAGCACCTGGCTGAAGGGGCAGAGAACCTGGAGTAGTCTCGGGAAACCGGAGAAGCACGGTGTGGCCACGTTCCGCTGAAGAACAAGCGGCGCGCGGACGACCGACCGTCGCCTGCGGCGCCCGAAGCTGCCGGGCATCCTCTGGCCGGATCCAGGCCTTGGTGACCCTGCGATGGGCAGGGCTAGGCTGCGGACTCCTCGCGGGCAATTTAAAGTTACCAATAAGACACTTCCTGGTGACTGGAGCGCCGAGAGGAAATGGTTCTATTTGGCGATGCCTCCACCTTCCAGTCTAATCAGCTACAGCTTTATCATATTCGCTGTCAAATGGGAGCCCGGTAAACTCGAGGTTGCTCGTCCCCGAGCCACACCAAGGGAACTGGATCAACAGAATATCTCCAAGATGAGGAAGGTGCGTGTGATGGTTAAGATTTGGGACTCTGGAGTGAGATCTGTATTCGAGATCTGGCCTTGTGGCTTGGAACAAATTATTTAAGTCCTCTGAACCTCGGTTATCATAGCTGTTATTGTTATCATCATCATCATAATAATATATGTTGTATAAGGTGGTGAGCAGGGCTGAATAATGGCTCTCAAATTGGTAGCCAGGCGCCTGCTATACGTATAGGCACTGATAAGTTATTATCATCATTAGTGTTATGATTACCAGGGCAGATCTCAGCAGCCTTCCTGGTTGTGGCACTCAGCAGCTAAGTGACTTTGGGCAGATTTGAGGCTTAATGTGTCACTCATAAAGAGAACAACTTTTGCTCTGGATGTAAACATCAGATGTTTACAAAAGCACATGGAAAATTATAAGAAGCTTGGAAACTTTTAACATAGCATTTAATGTTGTTTTCCTCTTCATGAAGTATCCTTTCCCTTCCTTGTAGGCTGGAAAAATCTGTTTATCATGTTAGAGATCCACAAGTAAAAGTACATTGGTGTAAAGATTAAGATTTTGAAAAAGAAGAGGGAAATAGGTAACTGGGTTCTATAAGGGCATTTTCCATCTGTTTTAAACAATGAGGTGACAGCCATTTTGGTTCACCTCAGCTAACGTTGCTAGACACAGGGGATACTGAGAAAGATAAAACTCTTCTCACTGTGCAAAGAGCTTACACTATACCAATGTGGGGACCCGGGGTTGTCAGTGATGAGAGTCAGTGTGATAGGGATAATGTAGAAAGTCGTGTGGAAACCCTGATGAGTTAAGTTTGCAGCTGTGCAGTTGGATTAGGGAAGGTGCTATGGGTCAGTGTGTCCCTGAAAAACTCATGCACTGGAAACTTGATCTCTATTGTAACAATGTTAAGAGGGTGGGGAATCCAATTATGGTATTTGAAAGGTGGAACCTTTGAAAGGTGATTAGATCATTAGGACTGTACCCTCTGAATGGAGTAATGGGTGTGGTTTTGATGGCTTTAAAAGGAGAGCAAGTGAGCAGGTTAGCTCTCTTGCACAGTCCATTCTTGCTATTTGACACCTTGAGGCACTGTAGAGAGTCACCACCAAGAAAAAGGCCATCACCAGATGTAATAAAATAAACTTCAAAACCGTAAGAAATAAATTTCATTTCAGATATTCTGTTATAAGCAACAGAAACAGACTGATTCAGAAAACTTCATAGATTTAAACTTGGTACTCAATCAAAGGTGTGGAAAGATTTTTCCAGCATACAGGAAAGGGAAAGGATACTTCATGAAGAGGCAAACAATGTTAAATACTATGTTAAAAGTTTCCAAGCTCCTTATAATTTTCCTTGCGCTTTTGTAAACATCTGATGTTTACTTCCAGAGCAAAAGTTGTTCTCTTTATGACTGACACATTAAGGCTCAAAGAGTTTATATCTGCCTAAAGTTACTTAACTGCTGCTGAGTGCCACAACCAGACCCAGAAACTCTGATGCCTGATATAGTGATATTTCCACCATGTCATAGCATCTTGAAAAGCCACAGTTTCTGTGATTTATAAAGTATGGTATTTCAACCTTGGCTGCCTATCAGAATCAACTGTAGGGCTTTAAAAAATTATTGATGCCTGAACCACCTCCTTACCTATTCAATCAGAAGGGAGGTTGGGTGGATGGACAGGGACCTGTAATTTTCTTTTTAAAGCTCCACAGATGATTTTCTTACAAAGAGCTGAGAATACTGAATTCTAGCCTTTACTTGACAACACAACTATGTCTAAAGAGTTGGTTAACATGAATGTTATACTTCATATACCCCAAAATATGAATTCCCAAGTTCTCTAGGCTTATGGTAAACAAGGGGTATAATAGATGTGTACTTCCTTGGCCAGCAGATTTTTCCTTTGTTCTAAATCCTTTCCAAAAATGGGGCTGTGTTATGACCAAATACATGAATGGGTGCATAGGTTTTTATTTATTCAGAGAAACCAGAGTGTTTTATGGGAGAAATGCTTAAAAGATTAGCATATTCTGGCTTTATATGTCAGGAAGTGCATTCATATGTCTAATACTTGTAATATAGTTAGCCTAGGCAACTACTCTCCTGAAAAGTAATCCCTGGAGATACTTCTGGAAAGAAGAGGGTTCCATAGCCATGTACATTGATTTGGCCGTCCATAGCTGCAAGGGAAGCAGAGAACAGGATTTCAGTGATCAGCTCAGGCCAGTTACAATTCATCACTGTGATGCTTGGCATATTGCTGTTCCATACCAAATTAATGTTAAACTAAGAAAGAAGTAAGAGATGGATTTTGAATAAGAAAAAAAGTACCACAACTTTTTTTAACCCATTGTTTTCCAAACATTTTGAACACAGCCTATTTTGTGAAATATCATGAAAACTTGGGAAATGCTAGTCTTACACATACACACAAAACAAAGCAAAAATGCACAAATAAAAAGTTTTAGGAATTGTGATATGTTCGTGTTGACAATTTTTACTTGTTCTAAGGTGAACCAGGCTTTCTGGTTTGGGACTATACTGCTTAATTAGACTTTCCTTTCCTGGACAGATTTCCTTAGAAAATGCTAGAGACAAGCTCAGCCCTTTTATTGTTGTTGTTGTTGTTGTTTTGTTTTGTTGGCTGGCCAGAGCTCAGCCCTTTAATCATTGTAAATTAATAGGAGTTTTAGAAATAGGCTTCAGACATCCATATAGCCCAAGCTTTTCATCCATAGATTTGGAAACTGATGTCCAGAGAGATTAAGTGATTAACTCTAACTGATAGAACTTTGACTCTAGGCATCCAGGTCAGTATTTTTTTTTCATCTCATTATATTGTCTTTCTTGGCCCTCACTCTGTAACATCTTCACTCATGATATGGTGTAGGGCTCCATAGTTACATTTAGTATTTATTTTACATCTCATGCAAAATAAAGATATTTTGTAGATTATGTTTTTCTTACCTATTGTTTATTTTGTTCAGTATTGCTTATGAAAGAGATATAAAGAATTAAAAGTGTTATTTTTAACTAAAAGTATTATTTTTATTATCCTGTAATTATAGAAAGTTGAGTTGTGTCATTCAATTGTATGTTAACATGGTCATTAACTACAGTTTATCATTTGCTTATGTATTTTTAAACATGATTCTAAGTAATCAACAGTAAAGCTTTTTTTTATCTTGTTTCTTAAATTGGTATTAAAAACTTACCCTAGATATTGGTTGCTCTTATCGTCATTAATGTTTGGCATTCAGCTAAAAACTAAGATATACTCTAGTCCCATCTTCTGCTGTTGTTTGTTTGCCCCTTTGCTTTCAAATAAAATTTCTCCTCAGAGAGTCTTTCTACATGTATTGAATTAAATATGCAATTTATACCATATGATGTTACCCTTTGACTAAATGCTTTTTCAAAGCTTTGCTGAATTTCCCATAATAAAGACACAGCTATCTCTAGGAGTTGAGGGAAAAAAAAATCCCTATCCAGTATGCAGGATGTAACCAGTCAACACGGAACTATGTAAACAAAAAGAAAATTGATTTCAAAGCCTAATTATAGGCAAAGGATTTGAATAGACTTTCTCCATAGAAGATATGCAAATACCAATAAGTACAAAGAAAAAAATCCTACATCATTCATTAGGGAAATGCAAATCAAAACAATGAGATATCACTTCACAGCCACTTGGACAGCTCTAATCAAAAAGTCAAGTTAAAACGTGTTGGTGAGGATGTGGAGAAATAAGAACCCCTTCATACATTGCTACTGGGAATGTAAAACACTGTAGCCACTTTGGAAAACAATTTAGCTATTCCTCAATAAATTAAACAAAGAGCTACCATATGACCAAGCAATTCCTCTCCTAGAAGAAATGAAACATATGTCCATATAAAAATTTGGATATGAATATTCATAGCAGCATCATTCATAATAGCCAAAAAGTGAACACAACCCAAACGCCCATCAACTGGTTAATGTATAAATAAAATGTGGTATATCCATACAGTGGAATATTATTTGGCCATAAAATGAAAATGAAATACACATACATGCTACAACATAGGTGAACCAGGAGAACATTATATTAAGTGAAAGAAACCAGTCACAAAAAAAACACATATATTTGAAATGTCCAAAATAGTCAAATCCATAGTGACAGAAAATGGATTAGTGGTTGCCTAGGGTTAGAAGAGGGGTTAGAGGAAAAAGAGGAGTGATTGCTAATGGGTACAGGGTTTATTTTTGTGAGGGGAGGATGAAAATGTTCTAGAATTCATTGTGACGATGGTTGCCCACCTCTGAGTGTACTAGAAAGCATTGAATTGTAGTCTTCAAGTAGGTGAGTTGTATGGGATGTGAATTATTTCTCAATAAACCTATTATTAAATTACAAACAA